AACGGGGGGGCAGGAGCCCAAGAAATCACCATTTCGTGCCATGAAACCTTTGAAAAGTGGGCTCCTGAATGGGGTTCGCTTCTTGGGTTGCTTTTGCAAACGGGGGGGCAGGAGCCCAAGAAATCAACATTTCGTGCCATGAAACCTTTGAAAAGTGGTCTCCTGGATGGGGTTCGCTTCTTGGGTTGCTTTTGCAAATCAAACGAGGGGCAGGCCTGGTAACATTTCGTGTCGGATTTTCCCTGTGATGCCTGTGAGCTTGCTTCTGCCACTGCCGATCATTTTACTCATAGCTCCTTTGGCAAACTCTAGATCGAAGTCGCAGCTGCAGCTGCTTGCAGAGCTGTAGACACAACTCCGTTGGCAAACTCAAGATTGAAGTCGTAGCTGCTTGCAGAGCTGTAGACACAACTCCGTTGGCAAACTCAAGATTGAAGTCGTAGCTGCTTGCAGAGCCGTAGATTTCATCGCGGCATGGCTGAGAAGGATGCTGCAAAAGAGCGGAAACGCAGCTTCGTTGATACCTTCGTCTGCCCCAAAGTCACAGATGTTCGAGAAGCCGCTCGACTTTGGGCTTCTAAAACCCATGAGGTTGTTGGCAGCTTCAGGCAGCCTTATCTGCAGCCTTCAATGCAGATGCGCACGACTGCCGTTTGCTACAAGTGCGAAGGGTGTCACCGATTCAGCGGCAAGACTTTCGAGTTTCTTGCCGCTGACAGCGAGGATGGGGCATTCACGAAATTGACAGTGTCCACTGCTGGTGATTGCAACGGTGATGCTCGCACCAGCATGCGCTCCGCGGGTCAGACAGGGAAAGGAGGCAAGAAGAGGCCACAGGCCACGGTCGAAGAGCGCAACTTGGTGCACGAGGCTGCTGATTTTCTGATCCAGCAGAACTTGAAGGCAACTCCCAGTGCCATTCACATTCGTCTGGCAGCTTTGAAGAAGCCTCGTGTCCCGGACAATGTGGTCAGAGCCATATTGCGTTGGCGGAGAAGGAAGCTCGGCTTCACCAGCTGGAAATGCTTCGAGAGTGAAGGCTCCTTTCGTGCCATGGCGGGCGAGAGGCAGGACCCAGACCACGGTGAGCTTTGCTTTGCACATATGGATATTGGTCCAGGTAGATTCACGTGGATCTGTCTCTTGGTGCCCTTCTTTGCAGCACTCCAGCAGGCCCACGAGCAGGGAGGTTTGCAGCCATGGTGCTTGACAGATTTCACTTTCAAGCTGGAAATCCTGGGATATTGTTTCCCGTGCATGTTGGCATTTGTTTCCTGACATTTGTGTCCCTTGTAAGCAGGGGTGCTTTTAGCGCAAGATTGGCATGAGTTTCAGGTTATGCTATTTTGGCATGTGTGGTGATGCGGAAACTCGAAGGGAGATGGCGAAGAAGTTGCCTTCCTTTGATATGCGTCTGTTCTCGCAGAGAAACGGGCGCCGTCTACGAGCAAGCTCTGGAATGCTTACGCAAAGAATGCGATCGCCGCCAAATCCCTGGCCCAAGTCAAGTTTGCTTTGACTGGTTCTCTGGTGCGGCCACAGCAGCCGAGAGAATTTTCCCGCGAGTCAGAATTGCCCAGGGCCTTTGGCATCAACGCCGAAATATTCTCAAGAACCAAAACGCTGGGAAGAGAGTATAAGAGCAGCTGAGGCCAAGGGTGCGCCCAGAAAGCGTACAAAGTCGGGAAAATTGAAGAAGCGCCCGCCACACTTCAAGAATCGACGTGTTTACGCTTTTATGAATCTGACCGCGCAAATGGTGATGCACCCCAGCAAAGCCTTTTTCCATCTTTGCGCGACCAGAATATTTGCAAGGATCTTCCACGTTTGGCAGGAACCAGAGTGGGTGCAGTACTACCGCAGCCAGTACATGCGGCAAGTGCCGACACAGGATAGTGAGAAAGAAGGAGTCGGGCATTTCCTCACCTCCACGTGGTGGTCGGGCCTGGGCAGCAGACTACTCCCAGCGAGGCGGGTTCGGGTTCGCTGTCAAAAAAACAGACATTAATCCGTTCCGGCTTCGGTCTTTTATTCGCAGGCGTATATGTGGTCAGGTTTTGCTGTTCTTTATTTCCGCAAAGGCCAGCCACACAACAGCCGATAGAGGCGTTCCACGCATTCTTCAAACGTTCTCTGCGCTCGCAGCGGGTGCTGGAATCCCACACAGACGTGGTTCTGGCCCTTGAGGACAGTGTTCGCGCCTGGTCGTCCCCTCTTAAAGAGAACGAAGAACTTGGGTCGAAACTCACGAGCCTCATGGGGCCTGCGGATCCGGATCTCATGTCGTTCCAGCGGCCCAAGAATCCGGATAGCTGGATGATGGACAAGGGACAGGTGCTCAGAGCACCATTCGGCAAACTGAGGTTTTATGCCGGCATTCCTGCTCTGGTCAAGCGGCTGAAACTGCCGAACACAAGGCCAGGGCTGAGCTCAAGTTAGTGGATGCGTCACCCGGCCCTAAACGCCACAAGGGAAGTAATTAAGAACGCCTGGCACAGGTTCGCGCAGGTCGTCTACACCGGCTCACAGAAATGGATGTGCATGGCGCAGGCCAAGCCTCGAGAAGTTCCTGCTGGCATGGCGAAGAAAATGGTCGAGCAACTGAAAACACGGCGAGCGCCTGCTCTGGAAAAGCTCCTTCTCGAGTCCGGGATATTGCAGAAGGACGGCGCAGCGGGCGAGATACATGAATCGGCGGGGATACGCTACGACTCTGGCACCTACGACAGCATCTGGGGGGAGTTCTGCCTGTGTTGGCAACCCCCATCCAAGCCGTATGTCGTCTGCAGCTGCTGGCAGTACTCTTGGATTGGACATTGCGCGCACCACTACGCCACAGAAGCTTGGATTCCTCTGCTGTTTTCTCGACATTGTTGTCCTTTGTTCACTTTAGTCCATTTGCCACGGCAGACAGCAGAGTAGCGGGAGCCGTGTTTGCGGCCTTTTCATTCTACGAAATCTTCAGAAACTGGGCTCCCAGCGTCTGTCTTCCCGAGTGCTGAAAGTAAACTGAGTGGACACCGATTGGGTCCTGTGCCAGGAAGTGGTTTGGGGCTTGCGACAGCTTCCCGACAAGCCGCTGCAGCCTCCTGGGCCAAACGGATCCCGCCGCGAGCACTCTGATGATGAAGGGCTCAACATGCATCCTCGAAGGAGGCGGTAGCCCGGTCTCCTTCTGCTGACCCTGCTTTGCTGCAGCACGTTTAGTTTCCGATGCCAGCGCCTGTGGAAAGCACATGGCATATCGATTTATAACTGGTCATTTCAACATTGCAGCTGCGACTCTCTAAATTTGCCACAGGCCTGCATCGTGCGATGGTTGAATTCTGTCCAGTACGAGACTATGCACCATGTACAGCAGCACACAAATGCGCCCTTTTCTAGCTCCGTTCTGCCGCAAGCAGTTGCCCGGAGCCCTTGTACAGCTGCGCACAGCAACCTGTTGATGACTGCTGGGTCATGAACATCTCCTTTTGCCTACATTTTGCCAGTCTTTTGTCTTGCTTCTTGTGTCATGCGCCGTGATGCAGGCCACTTGCATTGGCATAGGCTCCGATGAGGAGTACGACCCTTATCTGGACAGTGACAAGGCACTCTAATTGTGTTGAGCACCGGTTCTGCCATGTCAAAACCTGCATGTGGGCGCCGCGTCTGTTCCCTCAAATGAGTTCCGGTGGTCCTCTAGCATCTGTCCGCTGTTCTGGTTGTTCTGTGGCTGCAGGCGGTTCCAGCTGGGATGGTCACCGTGGATCTTGACCGAGTCTGGTGCCCGCGCCGACAGCAAACCATGGAAAAATAGCTATGATTCGGGAACCTGAGGTGGAGCAAATCGAGTCGACGCCCGAAACGAGGAGCCCTCCCCAGGAGGGGTTAGGGCTGCGCCTGTGTTGCCTAAGTTTGGACCCAACCTATCTGGCCAGGCACGTCGTGGCTATCCGGCAACAACGCCTCTGCCCAGTCTCCTTCGCCGGACGAGGGCCGCCTGAGTCAGGTTCGTGGCTCAGTTCAGACGCAAGGAGGACAGATTGTACGTGCCGTTGCAGTCCCAGACTTAGGCCGTGGCGCTGCAAGAGGCGGGTTTCACAGAGCTCACACGGACCCCTAGCGTGCTCACACGGCTTACGCAGCCAGAGGCACAGGCGCACTCGTCGCAGACCCCGCGGCCGCAGGAAGTCAGTCACGCAGAGGCTGGCTTAACCGATCGCCTGCTATTTGTTCCTGCTCACGTGACCATTGATGCTCAGGAGCCGCGCGCTCCGCAGCATCGGTTGCGCAGATCAGACTCGTGGTCGGGTGAGGCCCAACAGTTTTCCTTAAACCAGCTTGCAAAAGCACTGCAGAGGCTGTTGTTGGCCCAGCTGGGTATCCTTGTTGTCCTGTGCTTTTAGCCCTGGGCCAGGAAAAGGCGGAATGATAAACAGAGCGGCCACTGTACCTGTAGAACCCTCGGGCTTATTATTCAGCCCGAGACCCTTTAGGCTGTCTTTTCAGCCCGAACCACACGGGAACGCCTGAGCCCTACGAGAACGCCTGAAGCCACTTTCGGCTAAAGTCATGTTAGCTATGTAAAGACATGGAAACATGAATGAACAAAACACTCTGGATCCTTCAAAACATCTTGAAAGCTGGAAATCTTGAAAGCACAGCCTGCTTGCATCGTCCATCGCCTGCCTTTTCCGGCCAGCATCCGCCGTTGTGGAGGCAGTGGGCAAGGGTAGATGGGTAAGGTTTCATAGTGAAGACAAGGGGGTGGTTTGAGATGTTATTGTCACTTTATTGTCTGTATACCTGTCCTTATAACCGGGACCTCTAGTAGAATTTAGCTATAGGACTTCTTCCGCCTGATCCCCACTTTCCCTTTCCCCGATTGGCCTTTGCAACGCTTCTGGTGCAAAGCTCGTGTCTTGAGCTTCACCCTTTCAAAGACACGTATGTCGACGGTTCGGCTAGCAACCTTTCGGCTAAGTCGAGCTACTCTCCCTATATAATCTTCGTTCATTTCACAAGCAAATGCTTGGGGAGATATAACCACGGGGTGGCCTGCTAGCAAAAGCCCGTTTGATTTTCATCGCTAGGTGATGAAGGCCGTGGCACTTGGGGGTAATGGAAAATGCCCTTACTCGGACATCGATTGCTAAACGCCCCAGCAACCTGTACCCCCGCACAACACGCATCATCAGCACATACAGTCTTGCCGCACACATGCGTGGCAGGAAAAGCATGTGATTGTTGACAAGCTGAAAAAGCTCTAGCACGGCCTCGAAAGTACGCTGCAAGGCCCACAACTCTTTGTGAAATCCAGAAACACGAGGATGAATCAGCTGCAGCTTCACAAACCACAATAGCCATCGAATCAAAAGCATGGTGTCGCTGCCCTTGCTGTTGGCCCAAGGGCAGGCCATAAAGTTCTTCAGATGGAAGAACTGTTTTGTGAAACCACGCAAAGCGGCGTTCTCTTTGTTTACTGAGCACCACAGGCAAAAACTACTGTGAGCACGCTTGAGCCTTTCAACGATGTTCTTCGAGTCTTCATCATGATCCATAAAGCCTTTCCGCAAAAGAAGTATCAGCGCTCCTCCGATTAGGTAGCGCCCGATACCCAGCTTCAGCACATGCAGCAAATCCCAGACTATGGCCTGCTCAGGTTGCTGATCGTCGTAGGGGATTAAAGCTAGGATCGGGGTGGTCTTCCATGGTCGGGTCTGGTGCATGGTTTGAAGCCACACTGGGTTTTCACAAAAGTCGTCGAACGGATGTTGCGATTGTGCGCCACTGGATGCTTCGCATGCATGGCATATCAAACCGGCTTGTCGGGACCCCACATGTGCATATGACCTTACCAGATTATAATACTTCAGATGGAAATCTAGATCACCTTTGACGGCGATCACGGCCCCGTAAAATCTTCCCATCTTTGGTACCTCTACTCCCTCTGAAAGCAACTTGTTGAAGTTGTCGACCAGCTTCTGGAAAACAGCATCTGTCACGTGGCCGTTCTTCTTCAACACTGAGCATGCAATGCCGAACAGGAAATACCTTGACAGAAAGGAATGCCCTTTGTAGTTAGTGAACATGGACAGACAAGATTTTGTGTCTTCGGGACTTAGAAGCCCTTCCTGCTCTGCTCCAAATGTTGGGAGGTCTGGGTGCTCTGCCATGTACCTCTGACAGTGGCACGAGCGATTCAGGCGGGGAGTTGAGCCGATGGGAGACTCCATGGACAATACTAAGTAAGGACTTTTCTTTTGGCCTCTACCCTCATCCCCGTGCAGCAGAAGCGGAACGACCCTCCCCCAACAATCACTGCTGGGATGGGCTTCAAACACCTTGTGTGTACCATGTGATAGCCTATACGCTGACCAGAACGATGCGAAGGCCTGCATGGGAGGCATCTCACTCCCAGCCAACAAAGTAGCATCTTCCGCTAGCAAAGTTTTGATCCAGTCTTCAGGTAGCACATGGTGAGTTGTGATTATGTCACGTCCGGTCATGTTGGCATGCTGCATCACTTGGGTTTCGATTGGGAGGGATAAGTCCATCCTCTTGAAGATGCGTTCTGTGAAACGCTGAGCATGTCGCTCCTGCGCCTCAGTTGCTGTCCTGCCACGGGAGGCTGACAGCGTCTTCACCACACTCACAGCAGTGGCCTCGGCTGTTGCATGGTATAGAGACATATATATGCACCACACACATGCATATACCAGTCATGGTCAGAGAACAATAACACATGCTTTGGGCAAATGCGGAATGTTTAGGCCCTGGCTCCGTCACCCATGCTCTCTGCCAGGTAAGAGATAAGTTCTGTCTCGTAGTTCGGCTCGTTCGGGCTTGTACCTGGCAGGTTGGGTGATGTGTCCATGGGGGATATAAACTGTTCAGGGCAGCTTTCGCACCAAAGCGTCCGGACGTTTTCAGCTAAGCCCCCGATGCTGCCACCCCATGGGCAGAGTTCTACGATCGCGCTCATAGCACGACACCACAATTAAGGCTGCAGTAGCACTCCAACACATCAGGCCTATGAAGACTCAAACATGCATTGCAGCGTGATACATGACTTTAGTCGGTTTACAGAATGTTGGCAACCTGCGTGTTGCAGAGCTGCAGCAGGAGCACCACATGTGCAGAGCTTTGCTCGGCACACACCCAACACACAGGCAGCTTCAAGCAGCCCAAGCATCCTGAGAAACCCTACGTACCTACTTTCTGGTCCGCTTCGCACTCTGAGGCACGTTCGGCTCCGCTTTACGCTTGGGATTGGTCTTCGGCTGAGCAGAAGCAGTGGGCTTCGGGGCCAAGTTCCTTGGGCTAGGAGACTTCAATGAACTTGGCAGTTGAAAGGGTTACTGCTAGTTTCGGGCACTGGGGCACTGGCTTGGTTCTCTCGTAAACACTCATCGACTGCACAAGCCTCAGGTAAAGCTAGCAGGAAAGTGGTCCTGTGCGAAAAGTCGTCATCAGCCAAGTTGCTTTGCACGAGCGGTTTCCAGCTTGCATCGGATCTCGTTTTGCATCCTTACTTATTGCAAAAGACATGTCTAACATGAAGCCACACACACACACACCTCTACAGACCCCACCACATGCAAGGGAAGTAGCTTTCGTGTAAACCCATCGATAGCGCCTGCTTCTTTTAACTCGTCCAGAGCATCCTGTTCCTCTGACAAGTCGTTGGCCAACTTTTCCGTCCTGCTTTGCAACCTGTGCTGTCTCTTTTAAGGGGTCATGGGCGAGGTCTATGCATATTCACCCCGAAAATATGAACCCTATATAGATTTGCGGCTCCTATATCATACATCATTTATAGGAGAACATCCACGGACCCTTCTTGAACCCTTACCAAGCATAAATCACGTTTTAGACTCTATATATTTCTTCTTCAATGGAAAGCCCGGAAGACAAGAACCAAACCTCAAAACGATCCTATATATAAAAGCCCGAAGCCCCTGAAAGCTACAAGCAATCCGAGACCCCTCAAACCTAACACCACTGTCCTCAAACCAGAAGACAAGATGTCCACACATATCTTTACACAAGCAGACAGTCCTCCCACGTAGTAGTGATGTGAGCTGCTGCGTAGATGATTCACATGCCGGATAGTTGTACACGAACCTCTTAATTAATCAATCTACATTATGTGGAACGTAATTATACACCTCCGCGACAAGGGCATCGGCGAACTATGATTGATGCAGAGGAGAAGGCAAGCTCTGCAGTCATGTGGCTTCAATTGCAAGCTTGTGAGCTGCTTCGCGCTTTTCAAGCATGTGAGCATCTCATTGAATTTTTTGATCTGCTTCCCCAAACATTTGACAGCAGCCGGAACCACTGCCGACGGTGCCATGTCATGTTCGATCTCTGGCCAACCCGTCTTGATATCCTCCTCTTTCACAGGAATCACGACATCATCGGGAACAGCGGCATCACTGGCCCCGCCTCCGGGGCCTCGGATTGCCCATGGGTATGTGTGAGAATGAGAGAGTGAGAAAGAAGAGAGAAAAGAGCTAGAGAGAGATAGAGAGACAGAGAGAGAGAGAGAGAGAGAGAGAGAGAGGGAGAGCGAAAGACAGCGAGAGAGAAAGAGAGATAGAGAGAGAGAGAGAGAGAAAGGCAGAGTGGGACAGAGAGAGAGAGAGAGAGAGAGTGCGACACAGAGAGTAAGAGAGAATTCGAAATGTGCCAAGCAACACTCGCTAGGGTGCAACATGCCCCAGCCCGCGCTCCGATCGGGAACCTGCATTTCTTTGTCACACTCCTCGTCATACTCCATCGCTTCGGAGATGATAGAGCGCTTGGTTTTCCTTCGATTGTGCTACCCAGCTACCCTACTTGGGAGCAGATTACACAGGCTCTTAAAAGAAGTGGCATGCGGTGCACTGATTTGCACGGCCAAGCATCGACAGCTTGCCATAGATGCGCTTGTCAACCCAATACAGGGTACCGTCACCATACTTCGACTCCCTGGCATATATGATGTGTTTGTGTAGTGGGTTCAGTTCTGCTTTCAAACCATGCTACCCTAAACTAACCAACACATGCAGACTGCAAGCAAACACACACAGAGACACGCACAGACGGAGAGACACACACACACACACACACACACACACACACACACTGGCCTACCTACCTACCTACCTACCTAGCCCCTACCCAGCCGCCCACCCACCCACCCACCATCCTTCCTGCCCGCCCACCCCCCACCCACCCGCGACCGACGTGCCTACCGACATACATTCGCACATGCAAATGTAGCATGCGTATGTATATATATATATATATACACATATAAATGTATATACGCAAGTCTGTGTAAGTAGCTACATATTATATAGATCTATAGCAGACGGTTCTTGTACATACAGTTTCTCTATACAGACTATATAGAATTACAAACAGCAATAGCATATCAACACATGCCATGTATATTCACCGCATCACGATGATGATTCTGGGTTGTGATGTAGATATTTGCATACATGGTGACAATGACGGGATGGTGATAACGATGTGTTCGTTCAATGATAGTAAAGGTGTGTTTGATGAGGACTTGATGCTGGTAATGATGGTGTTTAGTGAGTTTGGGATGAAATGCATACAGGTGCTGACTATACCTTGACTCTGAGTTGTGCATGTTTTGTGCAAGGATACTGTTTGCCGGCTGGGTCTTGAATGCTATTTGGGTCAAGTTGACACTCGTGCAAGCAGCATACACATCTCGAGCTTGTTGGGCCATGCGATTGAATGAAAGGGATTGTACTTTCATAGGGCGGAACCGGATTCAGTATAGGGTTTGCAGAAGTTATACGGATTATACCGGGGTTCAGGGCTTGGGATTCTCTGTATTGGCTACACACGATACGTAGGTTTGGGGTAGGCTTAGAGCTCGGCTCTGTGTTGTCCCTCTCTTGACATGCAATGACTCCGGAACCTTCGGAGCTCTGGGCGAGTCGATGTGTAATGCTGTATCCCGGCAATTCGTTGCCTGAGTTGCAACTCAGGTGCGAACCAAAAGCAAATGCTGCGTGCGGCAGGCAGGGAGAGACAGAGAAAGACAGAGACTCTCGCTCCACGTTTCTTTCTCTCTCTCGCTCTCCCTATCTGCCCGCTCTCTCCCCCTGTCTCTCTCCCTACCTCTCCCTATCCTTCCTATCTCACTCTAGCTCTCTCTCTCTCTCTCTTTCTTTCTCTCTCTCTTCTGCGCTCTCTACCTCTCGCGCTCTCTCTCTAATCATCGCTCTCTCGCTCGCTCTCTCTCTCTCTCTGTGTCTCTCTCTATAGGTACTTAAGACCATGAATCCAAACCAGACCGGTTGCGGGCTGTATTTGGCCTCATGCATGTCCTGCAAGCTCATGAACTCTCCGTCGATAGACAGGTTCTCCTCCGTGATGTTCTCGCTGACACGCTTGCAACGCTTGATGAACTTTTCCTGCGTGACAGCTGTGCTGGGGTTGTTGAGTTAAGTGTGTTACAGCTGTCCGATTGGTGGAAGATTTTGTTCAACACCGGTCCCGGTGGTAGCCAACCTTCTCGAATAAAGAAAGCACTTTCTTCTTTCCTTCGGTGTCTCTCCACATGTCCACGAATTCCTTCGGAATTAGATATTCGCCTGTCATGCGCGGCTTGAAGATCCTGTTCAGCCGAGCCTTCATTGCCTTTTCGTTCAAGACATACTGTGGTGGCCCTTCCTGAGTTTCATCTTGCTCTTCGTCATCTTCGTCATCCAGTGCCTGCTGCTCAGCCTTGCTCACTTCCGGCTTTGCGCTGGGCTTTGGGCCTTTGCTGTCCAAAGGGCTGGGAGCGTCGTGTGTGCTGCTTCCTCCTGGGGTGTTAGTGCTGTCTACCTCGGTCGGGGTGCTCTTTGCAGGCGGTGTTTTCCCGTCGCTGGGTGCTTTGCTTGCAGGGGTCTGCAGTGCGATCTCACTTGCGATTTGTTTTGCGGGGGTCTCGGCGCACTGAGATTCAGTTGCAGTGTGTTTTGGGGTCTCCTTTGGAGGGGGAGGGCTCTCCTTAGGAGGGGTTTCCTTTGCAGGGGTCTCCTTTGGCGGGGGCGTCTCCTTTGGAGGAGTCTCCTCCAGAGAAGCCTCCTTGGAGCCGAGGAAAGCGTTGCTGCGAGAGATCTGTGGCGATGAAGAAACTGCTTGGGTTTGCTGAGGCATCTCATCCTTTTGGGTCTCCTGCTCTCGCTCTTGGGCATCATCCCTTTGAGTGTTTTCTTCGGGGAGCACAGACTCCTGAATAGTGCTATTCTCATCGGGTGAAGCCTGTTGGTTAGCATGCTGCGGCAGTTGAGGCGTAGCACTGGATAGATCTGTTGGGGGGGTTGGTGCACTTACTTCTCCAGGCAAAGCATGATATACATCATTTTGGATCCACGTGTCTGGGAAGCCCTCGGATGCGGTCTCATCGAACATGGGCTGGGCATCACTAGAGATGACCTTGTGCAGGCCATCTCCCGGGACCGGCTCGGCAACTGAAGGCAGGGCCATTGGTGCATCATGCTCCTCAATCTTACATGCACGGTCATCTTGCTCTGCTTGGCACGCACAGCGAGTATACAACATTGCAAACTGTGCATACACTAGCATGCTTGCACACCTTCACGGTGTGAAACAGGTGGTGCAAAGCTTCGTCGGACATGTGCTGGAAAGCTGTATCCATTACTTCGGCGGAGGAACCAAAGAGCTCCTCTTTGATGTCCTTGGCAAGGCTCACTGGTGTGTCACGATTCTGAGTTGCCGGAGGTTTACAGGGTTTGATGATTTATAAACGACAACATTCACGGTACCTCCCAATAAGCAGCGTGTTCTCGAATTTCGAAGTGACCACCACAGTGGGGATCAAGGATGTTGCGGTGTTCGCAAACAAGTGAGAGGAACATCCCAAGAAGCAAAACCCTTTTCCATAGCAAACCTCACAGACTCTCGAACCCCGCATAACGAAGCTGAGCCCCGATCCATATCAATATATACATATATATATGTGTATATATGTTCATTATATACTCGAACACAGCATCAGCAGCATTGGTTCCAGGAAAAAGGATGTAACAGTTCTGGTGTTCGAACATTGACAAAACACAGGTGTGCGTGTGCGTGTGTGGTGTGTGTGTGTGTGTGTGTTTGCGTGTGCACGTTTGTCTACAGTACACGATTGTATACATGTCCATGTACATGTGTATGTGTATATGCATATATGCATGTATATATGAATATAAATATATATATATATATGTATGTATGTATATGTATATGTATATGTATATGTGTATGTATATATGTATTTATGTGTATATATGTGTAGTATGTTTACCAGTTTGTATGTACATACATAGTTATGTTCCTATGTGCATGTGTATATATGTATAGAAGCATATATGTATATATGTATATGTGTCTATATGTATATGTGTATAAATGTGTATATATGCATATATATATATATATGTATGTATACGTGTATATGTATATATCTATATTCGTATAATATATGTATGGATATGTAGATGTGTACATGTACATAAGCATATAGGTATAGGTAAATCGGTATATAGGTAGAGAGTCATGTAGGTGTGTATACATATATATATATATATATATGGAGGTATATATAGGTATAGGTTAGTGCGTGTGCTTATGTGAATACACCGACACGGAACTAGATCTATATGTCTTCGGTTTGTATCTATATCCATATCTATATCTTTGTCTAAGTATACGTCTACATCTATATCGGTAGCTTTCTCTGTATCTGGATGTGGGTGTGTATGTATCTATTAATCTGCTTACTCGAACTTACACCGATGACATGCTTAATATATGTATATATGTACATGCATATATACATATCCACACAATGTATATGCACGACAAGCACCTGCGATTTGCCCCATCCTGCACAAATCGGTTTCTTATCTGCATGGAGTAAATATACATATACACAAAACTAGGTACATATATATATATATATATATTATTATTATTATATATGTAGCTTTACATATATACATCTCTACATACATACATATTCATGTGTATGTATATATACAATATATATATATATACATATATATACATATACATATACATATATATATATATACATACATACATATGCTTTTTATATATATACATAGGTACGTATATGTATACTTATATACCGAGTATGTCAAAGTTAACATATACACACATATATAGTATGGCATGAATGACATTGCTTGAAATCAGTATAACAGAAGATTCCAATCGGGATCCTTATAAAACCCGGGTAAACATATTGATGAGGGGTCTATGTGATTTAGACGATGTCGTTCATTCCCAATATTAGACAGCGTAGTTTTATAAGGATCCTGAGTGGTATGGTCTGTGACATGTATAGGTTGCAATGCATACAAAGACTTTGGTCCGCTGTAGTTTAAATACACTGTTACGGCTCTCTGGCACCGGAGGTCAACGTCTCTCGGTAGAGGGCAGGGGTTGCAGCAAAGGGGCTAGAACCTCTTGCTTCATTTCAAGCAGCTCAGTGTCACCCTGAAGAGACAGAGTTGCTTTCCGCGCAAGGTCCAAACCACATTCGAGTGTGGCCGAGGACCAAAGCTTGCTACCCATTGACATGTTTGCAGCTACTGTTGAGCTGAGTTGAAAAGCTGCAATAGAAGATGTAACTTTCAGTTGCAAAGACTGTTTTTTAAGGGTACGGGTGAGAACGCCTGAACCACGCCTCGGAACGCCTGAACCACGCCCCGGAACGCCCGCAATATTTTGGGTATTTTGTGGTTTTGAGGATACTCGGGAATCACTTAGGTCAGAGCAATTGTTGTTGCACCAAGCACCGCACTTCAAAGTGCGGCCCGAATTGCACTGCAACGACAGTTGGCCTTCATGGGCCTTCGAATTATTCACTCTGCTCATGAGCACATAGACAACTACATGCTCTGCAAGCGAACAGGCAAAACAGTCTTCAGCTCAACTGGCAAATTGAGGCGCTTGCTGCATCTAGCATAATCATATACATAGTAAAGCTCCGCATCTAGCCATGCATCGTCCTCGGGCAGGGCCCTCAGTAGCTCTGGAAGCTGGTGTTCGGGAGCGAAAACCTGTGTGTGAGAACAAACCCACCCAGACTACATGCATGGCTACAGGCATAATTACAAGGTGGTTATTTTCACTATTATATAGCAAAGCCACAAGTCGCCAAACCTCCGGCCCCAATTTCGTGTTTATCGATGCTTTCATAATGAGGAGCCCTCAGAATGTAGTTTATTTGTTGCTTTTCAGGTAGACACCATGTCTAAACTCCCAACCCTACATCCGGCGACCAGGGGAACCGCCGAAGGCTCCCTATGACCCCTATGCAGATATACCCTATATATATATATATATATGTATAACCCCCATTGGAAATTACAAAACCCTAGATTCTGGTATTGCTGGTAACGCCGGCAAAGGCTTTACGATGGTCGTTTTTGTTCCGGAGTCCCGACTGGTTGTTGTAGCAGGGATTCGACCCCAGAAGCTGGACTTTTGGTGAATGATAACTTGGGGTAGGCTTCCTTGTACTGTTTCTTAATGATATTCCAACTTTCTAGCTTCTACTGTATGGAACGGCCGGAGGGTTGACGAGTGTGTATACTTATCGGGTTTAAGGTACATATCAGGGTTTTCATGTACAGACTTGATATCATAAGGGTGTAGTGAAGGGGTTCATTGGGTTGTACCAGGGTCTTGAAGGTGTAAGGTTTAGGATCATGGGAAGTGTTTGGAGATTTCTCGTACCCGGGGTTGCTCGGGTTTTCAACTATCCTTGGGGTTGTTGAGGATGCGCTTAACCCGTCAAGTGGGTACTTCATTTTCTTATTATGAGACCCAACCTTAAAGCAGGTTAGTTAACCCTACAAACCTACACCTTTAATTTTGAACAACACCAGTCCCAAACTCAAAACCCTAATCCTGAACCCTCACCCTAAACCCTTCCAGACTCATCTGCACTCTTGCATCAATGGACTAGGGCTAAGGATGTGGGCCGGTTCAGGGTTTAGGGTTTAGGGTTTGTATAGGGAATGGCCTGAATACTTGTTAATACTATAACCGCAGGTTTCCGGAGCGAAACTAGCCTATAAGCTGTTCTACTTATAATGGTCAGCATGACGTTCTTGAGGATCCAGTCGGCCCCCAGCCGCCAACCGCCCATCAGCGTATGCAACCTCTGCCCCAAAGCCGCCCTGACACCACACTGTTGGGCTTTAGCAACCACCAACCTGCCCCCACCAGAAGCGAGCATCATGAGCATCAGCCCGATCCTGCCGGCCCCAGGCACACGCATCATGAGCATCAGCCGGCTTTGGGGCCTGGCGAAAATGGGCGCGGACAACGGGGAACAAATTCACGGTCAGCGGGGAACTTTAGAGGTGGGGCGAAAATGGGCGCGGTCAAAGGGAAACAAATTCACAGTCACCCCAACCACCCATCAGCGTAAGCAACCTGCGCCCCAAAAGCCCCGAACCGCCCATCTGCGTAAGCAACCTGTGCCCACACTGCATAAACCCACCTAAAGTGCCCTAAACCGAATCCCGCCTTCGGCAGGATTGGTCGGCCAGCCAGAAGAGCATCACGAAGCTTCAGAATCTTGCTGCAGAACTTCGGCGGGTAGACCCTGGGAGCAAATGGGCTGGGAGACAATGGCCCCTATAGGGATATAAACTTCATGCGGGTCAATTGATTTGGACCAGGCACTGCGTTGTTTTCAACTCTTTTGTTCCGTACCATCGCTGTCGGCCTTGACCGTCACGCCGCCTAGTCACTGTTCTTTTGAGTGAACGATGCAACAACTTGTTGATCTTCCCGGGATACAGCTGTCCGATTGCTCTGGAGGTCGACCAAACGAAAGTGTGTTTCAGGCAGAGGTGTCCGTAGAGCTTCATGTAGAACGACTGTCGGTATACCTAGCAGTGGATGCTGCACTCTTCCGCTATCCTACGCAACATTTATGTAGAATGCCAATTGAAAGCATCAGTCAGCTGGCAATCAAGTCACATGGATCAACTTGTCTTGTAGCTTCCGGATCAGCCAGGCAAAGCGGGGGTGCCGAGCAAGGAGTGAACTCCCTGGGTTTTCTATGATGGGAACTGCCTCCATTGCCACCAGTAGCAAAACGAGCAGTATGGACCTCCGGGAGAAGGGTTTCTAGGCATTGTTAGGGTATTATAGCGGGTTTATAGGAGTTTATACGGGGTTTACGCACATATAGGCCTGCAGAAGGACTCAACTCTGTGATACATCTGTGTAGCATCGATAACCCTTGCCACCATATTGTCAAACACCTAGCCTGCTGACCACCTTGTTGGCTCTGTACACAGCCAATGAACTCGGACAGCCAAGTGGAAGAAACCCACATCGTTTCGTCGATCCCCTGCTCATTGAGACCCAAGTTCCACACTCGATTCCCAGAATGCAAATCAAACCACCGAGCTTCGATTGCAAAATCATTGCAC